CCCCCCCCCCCCCCTCCCCTGTAATGTCAGCAGATTAATCAGACAGATCACTTAGAAAATACAACTACAGATTAAGAAACAACCCTACATAAAATGCAGTCATTACTAGCTATACCGACAGTATGTCATGGACAAAGTAAATCAGACTTTAGGAAAGCAAAGCAAATTTTCAAAAACATAATGGATTAGGTGTTTTATATTAACAAACAAGCACAATGAATCTGTTAATGCATGTTTGCATTTTTGTGAATTATCTCAATTTTCTTTACAGATTCGATAGCCGTTGCAAACAACCTTTTCTTTTTCGGATCTGCCTCACTCTTAAACATTGTCACTAATGATATGCCAGTAGTTGGTTCATGTGACTGTAGTCCAACCCGTGGGTTCTCCAGTCTGACCAGGTTTTCCATTAGCTGTACTGGTTTTCACGACAATGATTTACCTTTGAATTTTAGGATAATCATAAACGATACAGGTAAGTTGATAATTGAATTTCCAAAGGACCAAGGTGAGCTTGCAATGGCATCTGTCTGTCAATAGATTCTTCAAACCATTCACCCTCTGAACCATTGAATAGTTATTTCACCAAATTTGACTGGGAGCTGAGCTCCTTAGTAGAGATTCAAATGTGCAAATGGTTGACAACCTTGGAGGCTGAGGGGTCGAAAAGGGGTAATTTGGCCATTATTTACTTTTCAACTTTTCCCCGGCAACAATGGGACATGGCTATTAATCATGTTGGCTGGAAAGAATCATAGGTTGTGGGAATCCCAAGTTATAGAAATGGATTGACCTCTTGGATTTTGTCCCTTTCATCATAAGTTTGAAATGATTATCAAGATCAGCATCCCCACCCCATAATCATATAATAAATACAATTTCTTGGCATAAATTGACCCCAGAGTCTGGCCTTCCTCTAGAGACCTTAGTATTTGGCTCATGTTTTTGGAACTCTTGAGATCCCCACCACATAACTATACAATTGCATGAAAAGATGATAAGGTATGCTACAAGAATTAGCCTTGTTTTCTGCCCTTAACCTTATGGGAAATGGATTCACAGAGGTAATCCTGATGCACAGTATTATATTTCTATCAGTATGATGCATGTATTAAATTCTATTTGAGGTATTACACCATATTTTAAATCTGTCAGTGGTATACCATATTATATTTCTGTCAGAGTGGTACACCATACTTTATTTCTGTCAGAGTGATACACCATATTTTATTAGCTCACCTGCCCGAAGGGCAAGTGAGCTTATGCCATGGTGCGGCATCCGGCGTCAACTTTTTACCTAAACAACTTCTTTTCAGTAACTAAAAGGCTGAGGATGATATTTGGCTAGTAGCATCCTGGAATCAAGGGCTACCAAGTTTGTTCAAATGAATGACCTTCATTCATTTTCAAGGTCACAGGGGCAGAGCTGCCAACTCTTACGATTTAGGCGTAATTTTTACGATTTTGAGGTCTGAATTACGCTAGTACGATTTTCCAAGTAAAATTACGATTTTTTTAAAAAATCCGGAATTTTTCCGTTTTTTTGTTAGTTTCACCGTAATCCGGTCCCGATGTCCGTTTTCAGTATTATAATCGCAAATCAGATACACACGTGCGTTTGCATCGATTTTCGAGATAGGCTGGATTTAATTCAATGTGAAAAGGACGTTTGTAGAAAGTAAAATGGCGGAAAAACGTGTCAAACTGGACTGGCAAGAAGACGTTTCTCCTAGGAAAAAAAGGAAATTGTCCATTCAGACGTTTAGAAAACGCACTAGAAAAACAATAAAAGGTAACGAATACATGTTTGTAAAAGAGCGATCGCAGATTACTATTTCTTAATCTCTAAGGTTGGCAGCTCTGCAGGGGTCAAATATGTTAAAATCTTTGAACGACCTCTTCTGAAAAACCAAGAGGCCTAGGGTGATGATATTTGGCCAGTAACATGCTGGGATGAAGGGCTACCAAGTTTGTTCAAACAAATGACCTTCTCCCATTTCCAAGGTCACAGGGGTCAAATATGTTTAAAACCTTTAAAACAACTTCTCAATAACCAAACAGCCTTGGATGATAATATTTGGCCAGTAGCATCCTGGAATCAAGGGCTACCAAATTTGTTCAAATGAATAACCTTCATCCATTTTCAAGGTCACAGGGGTCAAATATGTTAAAATCTTTGAACGACTTCTTCTGAAGAACCAAGAGGCCTAGGGTGATGATATTTAGACAGTGATATGCTTGGATGAAGGGCTACCAAGTTTGTTCAAACAAATGACCTTCTCCCATTTCCAAGGTCACAGGGGTCAAATATGTTTAAAACCTTTAAAACAACTTCTTCTGAATACCCAAGAGGGAAAGGATAATGTTGTTTGGCCAGTAACATGCTGGGATGAAGGGCTACCAAGTTTGTTCAAACGAATGACCTTCATCTATTTTCAAGGTCACAGGGTTCAAACATGTTAAAAACCTGTAGACAACTTCTTCTCAATAACCAAAAGGCCTAGGATGATGATATTTGGCCAGTACCATGCTGGAATCAAGGGCTACCAAGTTTGTTCAAATGTAGGACCTTCATCTATTTTCAAGGTCACAGGGTTCAAATATGTTAAAAACCTTTAGACAACTTCTACTCAATAACCAAAAGGCCTTGGATAATGATATTTGGCCAGTAACACGCTGGGATGAAGTGCTACCAAGTATGATCAAATAAATTACCTTCATCTATTTTCAAGGTCACAGGGGTCAAATATGTTTAAAACCTTTAAACAACTTCTGAATACCCAACAGGCCTAGAATAATGATATTTGGCCAGTATCATGCTCAGATAAAGGGCTACCAAGTTTGTTCAAACAAATGACCTTCACCTATTTTCAAGGTCACAAGGGTCAAACATATTAAAAATCTTTAAACAATTTCTTTTCAATAATTAAAAGGCATAGGATGGTGATATTTTGTCAGTAGCATGTTGGGATGAAGGGCTACCAAGTTTGTTCAAACAAATGACCTTCACTTATATTCAAGATCACAGGGGTCAAATATGTTTAAAACCTTTGAACAACTTCTTCTGAATTACCAAGAGGCCTAGGTTTGTGATATTTTGCCAGTGAGATGCTGGGATGAAGGGCTACCAAGTTTGTTCAAATGAATGACCTTCGTTTATATTCATAGGGATCAAATATGTTTAAATGTTTAAATGACTTGCTCTGAATATTCAAAAGGTCCAGGGTAATGATATTTAGCCAGAAGTATGCTGGGACGGAAGGCTATAAACTCTGTTCAACTTAATGGCCTTTTTCGACTTTCAAGGTCACAGGCGTCATATGTTTAAGTCATTTAATCGATTCAAATGAATCGAACACATATATTTTGCCTGTAGCTGTATACGAGTCCACTTTTAAGATTACAAGTGTGAGATTAATACCAGGTGAGCGTTACAGGCCCATTGAGCCTATTGTATTTTATTAGGTCACCTGAGACAAAGTCTCAAGTGACCTATTGCGATCGCCTTTTGTCCGTCGTCGTCCGTCGTGCGTCCGTAAACAATTTACATTTTCGACTTCTTCTCCAAAACCACTGAACCAATTTCAATGAAATTTTGCAGGAACCTTCCATGGACAAAGGTCAACAAAAATGGTTGCCGGTTTAGTCCTAAGCCCCCAGGGGCCTGAGGGGCGGGGCCAAAAAGGGTCAAATTGACTAAAATTTCAAAA